CCCCACCCCCCCCCCGGTTTTTCCCCGATCGTTTGTAAAAGGTGGGAAAGCACTGCATTTCGCCCGTGTGAACCGCCCCCGACGGTCCCGTAATCCAAGAAGGGATTTTCTACTGGGTACTGCCTGCCCCGCTCGGGCAGGGCAGGTAGTTAGTCCACTACACCTGCGCGCGCGCCAAGCGCAAGGACCTAATCCGCGCGATCTACAGGGAGCATGACGAGTGAGAGGCTTGCGAAGTATCAGAAGAAGCAGCAGGGCACGCAGAGCAAGCAGGCTGAGAAGAGCTCCCGCGTCGAAGCGACGGTCAGCTCCTGTTCCTCCTCGTCCTACCCCGCCGTCATCGGCATGGAATATTTTGGATGAACTTGATTGGTGATGAGGGCTGTCTTCTCAGAGCAATTTCTAGACAAAAAGCCTTTCTTTGGTGACCCAGCGAATCACGCACAAGTTTGTCATGAAATTGTCAAACACATGCAGTTGGCGCCCGCACTTAAGAAACGCTTATTTCAGGTCCAGCCTCGAATTCTCATTGTGGGCTATAAACTCAGCGTATGTATGTATGTCGTTCAGTTTCTTGTATCATGTTTCTTATTTTTTAGAAGGTGCTTCTTGATGTCCAACAAAGAGCTGCTCTTTGTTGATCTCTGAGGGTGACCAGCTTGGTCAAGCCCTCACGAGAGCTGGCGGAGAGCACCATCAAAGCCATGTACAGCAGACAGCATGTCGTGGTTCGCAGCCTGTCTGGTGTGCTGTGCCAAAGCTTTAGCGCCAGCAGAGAGCGTGGCAGAGCCCGCAGGGGGCCGGAGGGGGCGCCGCAAAAAAAACACTCCCCCCTCGTCGTACAACTAATAATAATGCGCTATGGGAGGGGGGGGGTAGGGGGAGAGGGAGAAAGAGCGAGATCTCGAGAGCTGTGGGGTTTGTTTCTTATTCGACACACTCCCCCGTAAACCCTCGTTTCTTATGTAGTAGTAGGGCAGCGGTCGCCGCTGTGTTTCTTATTGAGACATTTCTTACTGTCTGTGTGACCCAGATTGAGCTATGTTTCTTGACCCTATTTTCTTGTTTTTCGTGAAAAAGTGATCCTCAATTTCTTAACAAAATATTTCTTAACTGCGGGCGCCAACTGTACAGCACAACCCAGGAACCTTTTATACAGACACATCAAACGGATTCGGAAACGACCCGATTCGGATCCAGGGATCTCCACCATCATTCATTGTACTATTCTCTTCAAGACTACCTGTCCATCATGGCCCAACCCTCCGCATACATACGGTGGTTACATTGAAATTGCTGCTGCCTCACTCACAATTGCTCACAATTGTACGGACTCACCATAGAGAGAGGTTGTCATCGCCGGCACCCCTTTCCGACCACCGCGTAATCCTCCTCAACAAAACACTTTGCACGTTTTCCACCCTAATTCTTTGCACTACTCTACTCTGTCTCCAGTTTACACTGCTTGAATTTTTCTATCCTGAGTACTGTTTGCCTTCCCCTTGCACCGCCCCCTGTGTTCAAGACAGACAGTGCAAGCCACCTCCGAAGGGGGATCTTGTAGTCTATATGCATACTACGGCAAAAGATGCGCGATTGCAGCAGGGATATACACTGTATGCATAGCACGAAACGAAAACATGATAAACCTGACTATCACACCATGGTGTGGTGGTTAAAAACTGCACGTACTTATTCACTCACCTGGCTGGTCGCTGTTGAACCTTTACATTGTAACACTCCGCCCCTCACAAAAGACTTTGAATAGAGTAGGTTACAAGTGCTGCAGGACGACGTTTACTCGGCACTCTCAATAAACTGACGTTGCTCGACCTGTCCGACAACCAGCTCAGGCCTTGCGAATGTTTGAGAATCGAAAACACCCCACCGCAACTCGAATGCTGGCCTGAAAACGGCAAATAAAAAGTGGTTCCATCATCCCAGTTTCTTTTCATACAAAACTTCGTAGCAGATTTCAATATAAAACCAGCTGTATATTCGGAAAGGCATAGTCCGACGACGTTATTTGCCTCGCCGACGTGGACTTCACGTCAACTATCCCAATGTCACACGATAGGCTAAACACGGCTTCCAAGACAAGGCGGATAGCCTGCCTAGCAATCTCAACGCCCCCAAAAAAACTTCTAGAATTTCCGTCGGCAAATAAAACCTTCAAGAATTTCCGTCGCTCAAATCCCAAGCACGTAGTTTTAGGGTGACAGTCAGTGCGTTGGTGCTGCTGTGTATGTCGTTATCTTCACATCCAAAATCAATCGTTTCCGTAATTGTTCGGTACCCTCTGATTCCATGCTTATCCAATCGACAGGAGACGCCTTCCATAGCCATCGTCGAACTACCTAAACAACGCACGACAGCAGAAAATCACGACGACGCAAAAAACGATTTTTATGCCAAAACAAAATACTACAGTACTCCAGAAAATCGCAGCAACACGTGGGACGTTGGACAAGGTAAAACCGCAAGAACCGCGGCCTACCGCTCTTCAACGCAAGGTCACGGAAACTATTGAAGACCATTAAATAACAGATGTAACTAAAAGTAAGATTAACAACCGAAGATTGTCAACTCGGCTCAAAGTTAGACTGCAGCGATATAAGTATGCCTAGTGCCCGATCGGGATGATGTATTCTCCGCCTAATTTTCTCCTCTACCTGGCTACTTCCCACACATACCCCTTGCGTACGAAAAACCGACCTGCCAATGTTTGGGGATGGGCGTACACGCGTTGTTTCGTGCGGACGGCGCTTACTTAAATGACACAGTAACACCAATACCGCCTCGCGTCCATTGAAAAAAAAACTCTTGGGGGTAGTGTACCCCAAGAGACACCGAGAGCGCGCCTACACGCCAACGCAATCCAAGCAGGGAGATTGCCCCATCGTTCCTGCTCCCAGAAGTTATCGAAGAGAATCTTCACGACTTCCAGGCCGCTAGGACCCCAACTCGGGAGCATCAAGGTTTTGCAAGCTTCTCTGAAGACCACCGGTGGTCGTGGGTGTGGTTGTTGTCCACGAGCTAAAGTACTATCGGTCGCTATCGGAAGCGTGGCATACGTGGTGCATCAACAAGTACGCCAGCATTCGGGTTGCCGGCTCTCCGTGGTGCATGCCGTCCAAGATATCCACTCCCCATTTCCGCGTCATGCTGACCCAATTTATCTGCACAACCGTCGAGGACGCCGCGGCAAACGGGGTATAGCTCGTACCAGCCACAAACACAGCGAAGTAGATGTACACAGGGTGTTATCTTTAATTTACCTAATTACTGTGTTTTTGGAAGACAATCGAAGTCAAGAACAACCTCGGCAGGTCTACGAAAATCCCGAATCGCTCGGAAAGTGAGCGTAGCCAACCCCTAGCCTCAACCCAAGCCCAACCCTAACAGAACCCCGGCAGGGAATCCAATGACTAGTGGGTCTTGTGGTGCTGCGATGCAAGAGATGAGTGAAAGGCAAGAAGACGAAGAGCCACACCCACTTGGTCAACCCGGATCGAGGTCTCGAACCTCCACAGCCTGCAATAGAGGCCCCTCCCACAACTTTTGTACAGATCAAAATAAATCAGCAACCACGGCCTTAGTCATTGTTAAGTGTGTACACCAAGTCTGTTTCCTTCCCGTGGCCGCACCGGCACAGCCGACGGCTCAGTCCCACAGGCTTGTTGCAATTCATATGGGTACAGCACCGACAGGATTACACGGGACGTCCACACGACTCTCCACACTCACCTCGATCCAACCCCTTGGCTCCAGCAGGCCTCTCAACGCCTTCGTGAACTGCAGGCCTCGTTCAAGCACACAGTGCGGTTCTCTCTCGCTCACCAAGAAGGGAGCCGAAAGCCAAAACATGTATCTGTGCACACACACACACACGGAGTACCACGTCATCATCGTTGTCGTGTACCGTCAGGCGTCCCTGAACTTTTGCAAACTCCGAATACAGATTTAATCATATACATCGACATTGATATGCGCCTACTTGGTTTCGAATATCCGTACAAGTACCGAGCGTGTCCAAAGGCTGCCGCCCCTTTCCGCCCCTGGCACCCGCATGACAAGCCCCGCCGCTCGATCGCTATTTTTCATCACTGTACATCGCGTCACGGGTATGCACACATCGACCCGATCTCATCAAGACGATACGATGATGCACCAACCTGGGTCTGTGCCCGTCTTGCTCTGTCATGCCGTCAAGCTGCCGGCCCAGCTGCTTCAGAAACGTCTGGAACTCGTCAAGCGTGTGGTGCCACAATCGGTGCACCAGTGCCCAGTTCGCCAGGACAACATCCGGCTTGAACTGTTCTAATTCCAATGGGTCGAGCGAGGGAGGGGCCGAGAACCCCAGGTTTAAAGTTTTAACAACAAGACCGGTGCGTCAAACACCGAAATCGGCTGTCCAACGGAAGAAAAAAAAATCGAAGATCATTTCGACGAAAACAGGAACATCAAAACATCAACTTGCGCCTGCGTTTGGAAAACGAAGCGAGATAAAAAAAGGCACGCACTCGGTGACATTTACATACCACACTGCGCAACTGCTTTACTGCGAAAGCCAGAGAGGGGTCACCGGGTATACAGCGAAAATTTCACGTGCGTCTGCCACCTTACGGCTAGCCCTCTCCTCGTCACACGGTCCAACGCGATATATATACGGAGTCGAGCCATCTACCCGTGGCCCAACACGTGCACACCCACTCGCCGATGTCACCAGGTTCCTGACTTGGCCCGGCTTGACCTGCCAGTAGGATTCCACGCCGCAGTACCGGTTCGTTGTGGCAGTCGAGCCCGACCCGTCGTGCTCATCCTGGTGGCGGGCCTCGCCGTAGTACTGGATCGGCCCGCCCACGCAACCTGTTTGACGGTAAAGATCGGATAGACGAACAGGCATGGGTTGCCCATTGCTGACCCGCCCGCTGTTCCTGCCAAACTCGCACCTTCCTGCCCTTCGTACTTGAGCACATGCGGTATATCCTGTGAGTTCACACTGTTATCATCGGAATTTGTGGCCCCGCGCGCCCATTCATCCTATCAGTGTTCCGTGATTTTCATCGACGTACGTGTGCTACAGTATTCTCCAATGGAGCCTACAGAGCTCGACCGTTTTGAGGCGAATGTATAAGAAAGCGTCGCTCCAGCGGTGTACGTAGGCGGGAGCCCGTAGTATGCTGCAGCTGCACAGCCTGCACAGCCTGCACAGCCTGTACAGCCTGCACAGCCACGGTGCGCTGGTCTGGTGCCCCCCACCTGACAAACAGGAAACACAAGACGCGTCGAAAAGCTAAACCCCATTGCCTAGGCCCAACTAACAACACCATCATCTATGCCGTCACAGATACATCGCCTTCGCCAATCGGCCGCAAACAAATTAGGCGTGTAGAAGCTCGTCGTCTCGCGCCGGATGGGAAAAAACGTGTTGGTAGGTATGGTTCATCGGTGACAGAAGAAACAAGTCTTGTAAAAAATCACCAGTCTCCGCGAAAACGGTGTGCGCTTCTCTCCGGGTATGTCCTCGTTTGTCGCGCACAGCCAGAACCAGGTTGACGGGCAACAAGAAATGACATGGGAGCATAAAACTGACTGTTTCATGCGCATTCGGACACGCTGCACCTGTTGGTGTGAATTCTTCAACGAACGCCTGAGAAATATCGTACGGCCCAGCGTCAACACCGCCGTTTGAATCCCAGATATAGAGCTGATGACAGAAAAGCAGACAGGCATGCATATCATCGTGACGCCGCCCAGCAGCAACAACACCGTAAAGAACCACGCCAATAACCTACGCACCCTTATTTTTCTGACCTGACTCTTTCGCCCCTTCCCCAATCTTGTTCTCCCCTCCTCCCGTGGACCACACCGAGGAATCCGCAGTAGGAAGCCACAACGCGGTTCGTGCCATCCTGCTGGTAGATATCAGGCTGCCACACATGCGCCGCAGGGCGCAGCAGAGCGCGTACGGCTTTAGACTTGGTGGTGGCCATCAGGTGCAGAGCAGCGAAAAATATCCCGAAACCACCGCCACAGCTTCACCGCACAATAGGGCCACAAAGCAGGCTGGGGAACACACCATGCGCGTACAGCACTCATGAGGCGTAGTCTGATCAAAGTGGCACAAGCGAAATGATGTCGTTCAGGCGCTGCACAACAAGGGGGGGGCACAGAGTTGCTCTCCTCCACCTCCCGAATGGTGAGTTACTTTCCAGTCTGCATCGTGTGGACCCTCGGCACGCACTCAATCGCCGCAGAACACGCCGATCACGGGCTAGACCGCTTTGGAGGTAACACTGCTGTGCCTCAGCATCAGAAACAACACTATCACACAATCACCTGTCTCCGAAGTCAAGGAACCTAGTGATGTTCTTTTCGCGGAAGCAGCTCAGTCGGGTGTCCGTGTCCATGAGGTCGTAGCGACAGTCGTAGGGCTGCCATGTATACCCCCCTTGAGCATGCTTGAGCTCCTCTGTGGGTTTTCGTCTGTCAGCAGGCTTGAGGAAACACGCCTCTGGCTGCGTGAACAGCGGCGGCACGTGCATGTAGTAACGAACACAATTTGGTGGAAATAGACGTTGGGGAGGGGAATGGGGGGGGGTGGAAGATGAGGTCTAGCTACTTGGAGCTCGAAGATCTGACGGGACGGAAAACCCGCAAGAGAGTGGGTCGTGTGGGATGAAACAAAGCGTTACACCGAACTAGAACGAGTAAACATCAACACGACAACCACGACGAAGCCATCAGATCGCCACCCACCATCGCAGCGCTTCCGAACATGTCCTTGTCGTACGTGGGCCAGCCCCACAGGTCCACCATTTCAGGCGAAAGGTTGCACTTGGTGTCACGAAGACTAACCCATCGCCCTTCACGAGGCAGTGGTGTTGTGGGGACCCCGCCGCCGGGCCTTGATTGGGTGGGATAGGGCGTAGGTTGATGTGAAACGCCATCAATATTGCGAGTACGTGTGTGCCTCGTGTACACTGCAGTAAAGAAACACGAAAGAATCACGGAACCATTCATAAACGACAAATATATGACGTCAAACGACTGAAGGTTGAGTGCACGGAGCCAGTATTCCTCAATAAAAAGCAAGGGAATGCTAAACAGGTCGCCCGACGAATGAATCGGCCCGTCACCCGCCACACCAACCTGCACAGGGGTAGCGCATCCCACTCAAGGCCTGCTATTATTGCTGCCACGGCAGCCTCCTTCTCTTCTGTTTCTCGGTCTCCTTTCTCTCGTTTGTTTTCCTCGATGGTCGTCTCCCTAGCCGCTACCACTGTGAAACGTCTGCCGCCGCTGCCCAGAACGTTGCCGTTGTCCTCTGTGCACCACCTGCCGAAGTCGCCCACCACGGTAACCGCCAACAGAGACAAAAACTCAGATCTAAAGAACCGGCACGGAACGTACTGACTTGTTTTCCCTTTTTTCCGAGTCAGCACTTGCTCGTGTGATAGGCTCTCACGTGATAGGCGCTCCAAGCGCCAGATGTATCCAAAGGGCATATAGTCTACAATATAGAGTTTCATTCCTATTAATAGTTGAGACAACACCATACAAGCGACGTCGCCATCGATATGATATGGACAGGTGCGCCACAGGAACGCCACGATTCACCAGGGGTTCGATGTGTCACGTTCTCACGGCACGAGGAGGAGCGCACGTACGGCAAAGGCGGTGGGCTCATCTTGTGCCGCCGCGCGTGTGTTTCAAGCACCACCAGCACGGGCACTCGTGACGAAGCCCACCCCACCGCCAATCATGCCCATAGTCCACCGTGCAAGATTATTATGTACGTATAGGCTTTTAACAGAGTTGCGACAGATTTCGATTGTCAACGTCATTGTCGTCTAGCAACACAATTCAAAACCACCAACCTGCACAGGACAAAACTGTTATCTAGACTCCAACATTCTCCCCAGGACCTGTAACTCCCCATTAGCGCCAACTTCGACTCTCCACCCCCACCACGGGCACTAGCCCAGCAAACGCACACAAGCGATCGTATGCAAGGTGCGTCGTACCTTCTGGCGATCGACATGGAGGGGCCGAGGTACGTCATCGACTCCTCCGCCCTCGGCGTGCCGCTGCGCACGGCTCCCTTGAGCTGCTTGTCCTCCACGGGCTGGCGAGTCACCAACGAGTACAGGACACACCTGTACGGGGGGGCATCACATCATGTCGGATCGAACCGAATATCGAATCGTCTTATTGCACCGTATCACACATCGGGTGTCATCGCCTGATATCGCATCGCGTGGTATCGCGTGGCATTGGGCAGCATCGCGCAACACCGCATGGCGTGCGTGCATTCGCTGTAGCAAACACACCAACAACCACAACCAAACCACACCCATTCGTAATGCGCCATGTGCGGCAGCATGGCATAGCGTGGTGGCACGCAGGCAACCAGCCCATCGCGTCGCACAAAACCAGGTCTGCAGTTCGCGGCGCTAAATAGGGTTGAACTGCTGCATCCAATCGGTACCCCGGAGACATTGGTCATACACGCTGGTACAGACGTTCCATCCCGGCACGCCAAACACCGCATCCAAACAGTTTGAGGCGGGGCGGGGTAGTACAATCGGGACCGAGCAAAGCGATGCCATGCCGGCATGAACACTGGAGCGTCCTCCTCGCCGCTACGACCGAACCTGCCGTCATCCCCACCCAAAGTGCCTCGCCTGCTCCCGTTGACGAGGGCCTTGCTCGGGTCGTTCGTCGCCGACCACGCCACGCAGCCTTCCCTGCGGGTGCACAGGGTGCAACACCCCTCGAAATTGCCGTAGAAAGGACCGTCCCTGGTGCGTTTGGCCGTGGCGCCGGGCGGTCAAAAAACGAAAGGAAGCAGTTAGTTGCGCCGCGTAGAACGGCCAGTACCACCGTCCCACCACCGTACAAATAGGGGAACACGATCTACAAACAGTTATCCCGCGCCTTACTCATGCTCGAATGAAAAATCAAAGTGAAGCTCAGAGAATCGGCTTTCCATGAACGGGAGCGCGGTAGTGCAAGTACACGGAAGATCTCGCCCCGTGCGCCCTAGAAGGCCCAACGAGGCCCCTAAAGCACGACACAAAATGGTACGGTACGTCACGACATGCCACACAAACTAATAGGGGAGGGGGGCGTTGCGAGCTGTTGACCGGTCTCGGACGAAGTTGAGGCGAAAGCTCTGCCTTTTTTCCTCGCCGTCGGTGAAGGCTAACCTGGTGAAAGCTTGCGGGAATGAGTGAGATGTTAGTTATAGTACGCTTTAGCGCTGTTGTACCTCCAGAGGTTAAAAAGGTATATTGAGCCTTCACGTGCCCATTGCTTGCACCGCACGTACTCGTCTAGGTTTACGTAACCCCGCGATCCGTCCCCACGTTTTACCCGTGCAATACGACGTCCAGAAGATCGAGAGCATACCAAAACGGCGCATACGTGCCAACACGGGGGCGCGACCGGCGCACCTGACAGCGTCCATTTCCACGGACCCCTCGCCGTACTGCCCGGCCACCTCGGTGCATCTGCCAAAACAAACGATGCAACGGAATGTGGCTTAAAAAACAAATCCGCACAGATCGCAGGCACCACAGAGATGAAGGTAATAGGTGCAAGGTACAATGATATTCGCCCAACCGCCGCGAAAACATGGGTTTGCATGCACTTTTAGGCGTCTATTTCGTGCGCAATAGGGGATAGGGACAGTGCGGGGGTAACGAAAGTTGCATTGCCGAACTTTCTGCATCAGGGGGGGAAGTGACGGTTGTCAACATGTGTTTTGATGCTGCACAACTACCCGAAGTTTCGCGGCCTTGTATCACCCTCTATAGCGGAGAAGAAGCGCCTTGCGTACGGCAAGCGTTCCTGTTTGGAGGCTGGCAAGTACTGGTGATGGGCCGAAAAAGAAGTTTAAGGCCCAGCAAAAGCAATGCCAAAGCTGTCGCGCTCTCTGGCAAAAACCCGTGCCCAGTTCATTTTCTGCACGTGATATCTCGTGAAAATGTCGTCTCCGTCACGGTTCGCCCCCCCAGAAGGGTGCCTGTACAACGCTGCCGACTTCCGCCTCTGGAAAAACCGCCCAAGTTCCACCGAATAGACGCTCGAGTCTACGCTGCGCTAAGATAGTGTGTGCTTCAAAAGCAGCTTGGGCAATCAGTGGTTGTCCGGCGGGGTGCCAAGAGGGAACATTCTACCACGTCGGGAACACGACCAAGTAAAGCTGTCCGCGCAATCAACGGGAGGTGAATTTCGTCACATTTAACAAAAATAACGACAACAGCAGCAGCAGCAGCAGCAGCAGCAGCAGCAGTGACGCCATGCTACGCTCACAATGACTGGTGCGCCTCGAGGCCGCCTCTCCAGTCGAGGAGCGTTACGTCCAGCGTGTAGACACCCTCCAGCGTGGGCTGGAACAGCACGGTCCACGCACACCTTCCCGCAACAGGCATCGCGGCCTTTCGTCGTCAACCAAGAACAAGTCGCATTCGTTGGAGGCACGTCACGCCGCAGTGGCCAACCAATCATCAAAAGGAGTTGGTAATAGGTTGGAGGATATGCTCAAACGCACGAAAACCGTGCTGCTAGTATTGATGTCGTCTTCACAAGGCGGAAGTGCCGAGTTCACCGTACAAACCTCCTCTTACCTTCTCTTCTTCAAATGTCCGTGGTTATCAAAGGAACCTTCGAAGAAAGAGTTTAAGCGTCTCTTAAATTACTGTAAAAGGGAAGCGAAGCAAGCCAGCGTCTGGCTGTTCCTCTTCTCCTTGTCCCATCGGAGAAAATTTCAAGAACGCCACCCCGGGTTTGCCTCTATACGTGCACGGTCGTGGATCACGGTTGTATCGGCAAAGCAGGAGCGAAACACCTTGGCAATATTCGTCATACTATTAAAATGGTAATTTCTGCAGTAGCAGTGCTAGCAGCAGTGCTAGCAGCAGACGGGTTGAACAGTACCTCAGCCAACGCTTCGGGGCCTTGCAGCCTCAGCAGCATGCTGAGGTCTCGGCTGTTGCAGTCGGACAGCTCTCCGTCCGCCCCCTCCCTCAACCCCACCACGGTCATCATCCCAGGCGTCCCCGCACTCCATTCATGCGGCGAGAGGCCTTCCCGCCTGTCCCCTCCTTCCGCGACATGGATCCAATCTGTGGGGGCCCCGCTTCCCGCGGTCCCGCTGCTTGTTTGGACTGCGGTTGTTGCAACTGAAGGGTCTTCGCCGTCATCGCCCCCTGCGGTGAACATCACGGCTAGCAGCAAGCCCTTTCGCCGGAACAGCCACCCTGCACCGGCAAGTTCGTCGTCACGGGTGCTTCCATCACCGATCACCAACGTCAACACCAACACCGCTATAATCGCTGTATATCCTCAGGACTAACGGTTCATGTACTTCGCGAACAGAGCCCACGTTTGTCGCGCAAAGGGCTTTTGGCGTTTGCTGGGGCGCAAGGGTATTTTCTGGCAAGAGCCCTTCGTTTCTGTTTATCGTCGATGGCTAGTGGGTACTGCTGTTGAGGTTCAGGACGGGTCTTGGTCACGCGAAGACTCCGACAAACATCTAAGGCATATCGGTACGAGTAGGATGAACAGCACAAGTACCAAGTAGTCGACAGCAGTGGTGCTTATGGCTGTGACAACGCACCGTTGTTTCTGCGTGATGGCACAGCTATAACAAACGGTCGGGATGCGTCACGCGCTCTCTTGCCGCTGTGCCACACCGCACATCAGCCGCAACCCACGATTCACGCCGACGAATGCACACGCTTGTCTCGCGCTCACATTTTCTTTCATAATGCACAGGAAACTCCGGCAGCAAAAGCTACATACACGAGTGCATTGGGCAGGGGGAAAAGACGGCCACCTTTTCCGCACTGGCTGGGGTCGGTGCACCCCTGGTTAGGCTTTTTTCTCCAGTTGACGCACGCTTTTGCCCCATCATCATCGCCAAGTATCCCCAGCACGTCATCTCGCGCCAGGCGATACAGCTCCTGGAGAGAAAAAGAAGGTGGCGAAGGGGGGATCAAAAAGGCAATACACGTGTCAGAAAACCCCCCTGGTCCCCCCGTCGCCATCGGGGTTGGGTTTTCGTCGCTGGACAACGACGTTATAAAACGAGCCGATCACTTCGTGAGCTCGGCAACCAGGTTGCACGCTTTCTTCTTTGACTTTGTTTTTTTGTGCGGTAACCATAACGGTGGTCGAGTAGATCATGTTGTGCGGGGTCGAGAACCCTCACTCCGCGCAAAGGGGATGATCGCACCACGTTGTGTTATATTGGTCAAGCACCCTCGAGGCAGTTACACAGTGCTTATCACTGTCTCTGGAAGTGAAAGCACCAGGAAATACAGTAAGCCTTTCGTAGCTGTCGTCCGTATGCAAGGAAGTAAGCACAAAACGCCGAACACCCTTAGCAGGACGCAGCGCACCCTCCATGCGACTCGCCGAATAACTCACGGTGCTTCGCGCTTGGTAATGTGAGAGCCTGGTCCGGTGAGGACCCGGCGTGCTCCGCCCCGGCTTTGTAGGGATGTAAGGTCAATGGTCTAACGACTACGGCATGCGCGACTATGAGTACACACACACATAAAACGTGGAACGCGAACGCCGAACGCCGGAGAGAGTGCGTCGGTGGGCAAAGAGGACCTGGTTCAGGCAACGTTAAGGATCGCAACTACCGCAACCCTCGTGAAAACGGAAGGAAACGCCTCCGCGACTGTTGAACCTCAGCCATACTTCGAACTATTCTTATGAACTCCTATTTGTACCGCAAAAGTATACGGCATTACAGAGAAACTACCCCGAGATAATCTTCGAGTTGATGTTACGACGTCTTTATTGACGGTGAAGATTGAGGACCACCTGCTGGATCCATGTTTCCGCGAGTGGTGGGACCCTCTCTGAGTTTGCTCATTGTATTCGTGCAGAGTATCGACTACGGAGTAAGACAGAGCAAGTACCGATTTAAGAGAATAAAAGTGGCGTCACGGCCACGAAACTCGCACGTATCTTTATTGCATATGTAGTACAGTTCAAGATGCCAGAACGAGAGCGTACGCCGCCAGTGCGCGCAAAACCGGACTGTGTTTTCTCTCTCCTACATCCAGCTAACACACTAAACATCAGAGCAATCCTCTCTTATCCGTAGAGAACGAGTCCAAAAATACCAAAATTAAGGGAGATTCTTGAAGCTTGTCACGACCCTCTCTTAGACCGTAGCCGCTACTGCTGTAGCTGTGTTCTGGGTCAGCCTTACGACTGCCACCGTGGAAACTCAACATCTATGCATACATGGTACGAGGTACGAAGGAGCAGCCCCGTTTATTTTTTTTTGGTTTACGCTCAAATTCGATCGATATACCGTCGAGGTGATGTGTACAGCAACGGCCGATCATACCCCTCCATTGTTGTTGTTGTTGTTGGTCTTCGCATTAAAAACCGTCCCGGTCTCCGCTCAGTACCTTCTAATGTCCGTATAGTACTGGTCCAACTGACGTGGACGCCTTCCGTGGTCACAAGCAAACAACCCAAAGAGGGGGCACACCTTTCTAGAAAAATAAAAAGTGGACCCCCACAAAAGTCCTCCAAGACGCGACTTTTTACCCAAACGAAAGAGAAAATTAACCGGGATACGATCGACCCCGGTTAAAAAGGGGTTTTTGCGTTCGCCCAGTCGCCGCGTGGATTTTCTGGCTAGGTGTCTGCTGTTAGCCCCGTTCGTGTCGTTCTTCGAAGGCAGGTGCAACCTTCCTGCTCTGCCCGACTCCACTCCTTCCTCGTTTCTCCCATGCATGCCCGCACAGTGTGCAGCCCCTCTATTCCTATCCGGGCCACCCCCCCCTGCGTTCTCCGCTGCTGCTCAACCCCGGTGTCCAAACTGCATAGTGCAAACCGGGACATTAGGGTTCAACGCGATGCTGATGCCCGATTTGGTCCAACGGGAGATACCCCGATCTCGCGACCGCGGTAACTCCTATCCACCAAACTCGGGACTACGTTCCCTTCGAGGGTTGAGCTCGTGTCTCCGTGGTGGTCTTTGCGTGGAATAAACCCACTGGCGGGCCCCGGACCACCCTCGGCGAGGGCAGTCCAGAGGAGCGGAAGCGTAGTTACTGCGGCACACATGCACACCCCGCAATTCCAATCCTGCTGAATCCCGCCGCCGTTGCGCCGTTGGTATTTCTACACAAACCGAGTCAGGATCCTCTGTGCATGTTACCTACAAATACATACATACCGCATCCCTCCTCGCTCGGATGCAAGCAAGCCTACGACAGGTAGACAGACGCAATGAGAGACCCCAACCCCACAGCATTCACACCTGCAAAAGTTTCGGGCTGGCTGAATCTATGGCTGCCACGGCGGCAGCAGAAGCGGCAGGGTCAGCGGCCTCCAGGGCGTCCAATTCAACATGCATGCCGGCGGGGATTCGCGAGGAGGGCGAGAGCTTCGCCGCAGCAGATGCGTATTCTGTCACTGTGCTTGGCCGTAGCAATGTGGCAAATAGACCGACGGTGACGGCGATCCCGCAGCACAGGTACAGCAGTCGGCATCGTGATAACCTCATCGCACTCAAGCCTGGTGACAGCAGGAACGGAGGTAGGTGAGGGCGTCGCTGCTGTATCAGACGGCAAACCACCTAGAGGTTGATATCTGAAAAGGAGTACCTACAGGCCGATTCCATCTCCAGGACAACTTCAACCATCTCACCATAATTCTAATGCTCACCACCAGCAAGCCAAGACGCCCTGCTGTCTCTGTTGCTCTCGGCACCAGCACCTTTGCGCCGTAGCATGCATACGCCGCGTGATTGCTCAGGTTCGAAAAAAAAAAGCGGAGGAAAAAAAAGTGCGCGAAACGATTTGTATGTGCGTGCGCCTGTTCGCTCTTATTCTCCGTGTTGCCCTTGCTCGCTGGTACTCGCTGCCGGCCTAGGGAGGAAGATAGCGCCAGCGGCAGCCACAGCCGAATGACGTGCGTGTGTGCACAGCAGTACAAATGGGCAGTTACCGCAGCACGAAAGAGGCACCAGGCGAGGTCGGATTACCAATCGTGCGAAAGGATCTTTAGGGGGTTCGGGGGTAGGGTTTCCGGAAGGTTCGGAAAGCATGCCGTACTTTTTGGGCGCGCGCGCACGCGGTTCTTGACGGTTTGGAGGTGGTACTCGGCTAGCTCAGCTCTGCTAGCTTGCACACTGAAGCCCGAGCTGTGCAGGCTTGCAGAGCCCGCCTGCTCGTATGTTCAGTGGAGTATGTTCCTGCGCGCACAGGGGACTCATGGTGTGTAGGGGAGGAGAAGAATGCTGCTAGAAAAACATGTCAGGACCGCCGAAAGCAATCAATTAGTCTACAATGTAGACTGTTGTCGGGGGCACCGATTTGTATGTGCGCGCTACCGGGCTGCCGGCCGTTCGGTAGGGCGTGTACTGCTGCTGTACGAAGAGCGAGTGGAATATCTAGCTGAGTCTAGGTGCTGTAGGTCTAGGCCTTTGCACAGCTTCGAGATGACCGGAACCGCTTTCTGCGCTGGCTGTACACGAAAGAAACAACCGATTGCCCCGCAACGCTAGAGGTAGGCGCATCAGCATCCAGATCTGCCGCTGCCATCTGCTTCCAGATTGATAGCTTGCCAACGTCCAACCAGGCACAACACTGCACAACAACCCATACGACGTCTGAAGAAGCATGTTTCCCCCAATCCCCCACAGCCACCCTATAAGGCGTCGAAAGCCTACCCATTTCCGGCTCAGGCTACACCTAAACAAGGTATGACACAAGATATCACACCCCCTCGACCGATTTTCCAAGCTCCATTCTTTCACAGCAGAAGCGTGGCAGCGCCGGAAACGGCGGCGTTGAAGCCGCTCTGTCAAGAGCCTTCTGAAACAGTCGTTTCATGCACGCATTCTCTTCGTGGAGTAATTGATGTTTGGAAATCGGTCCAGGCGGGTAGGCTGCTGCATTTACAGGCACACATCGCAGATGATCTGCTCCCATGTAGGTTGCAAATGGCAGATACTAGATTCAACACCTTCCCATGTCAAACTATCGAGAAAAACCCAAAGTTTTTGCGCAGGGTATATTGAGGAGATATTATACACCAGGTTTGAACGAGTCGTCGCCACGTTGTCTGAAGCATACTTACTTGTAGACTTCATGTAGGTTGAAGGGGAAGTTGGTTGAAGGGGGAGTTGCAGGAGGGGAGAGAGGAGCCGACATAGTCTCGCCGATAGCCTGCTTGTTAAGCTTTGGTTTAGAAGGGGTGAACGCGGAAAGAAAACAACATAGCTTTAATATATACCGTAATAGTCGGAGAGATAGGACCGGTCTGAGAGGTGGCACCGGTCGGGGAGATGGCACGGGGTTGCTAAAAAAATACGAGAACGGCACGATTTACATCCATTTACGCACCGGGGTCAGTGAGATCGCACACCGACCGCCAAACCCAAAGATTGAGCTCATTTTCAGCTGCCGGAGTGAGGTACATGTGTGTTCCTTATACATGTGGGGATGGTGTCAGCGGAGCGCCACCCAATGCATGTACGTATGCATGGTCGCGGTTCACACGGGATGCCAGTTGATTTCATATTTGAATTGGTATGGAAGTTGCCAACCGTATACTCTCAACTAGACACACAACGTACAAGCCACATCCTACCCCACCTTACACAACACGAAGCTATTGTTGCTTCGTACGTTGCTTCGTACGTACTGGTATCCGTAGAGGAACACCGAAACGAAAGCGGAAGACAACTGATGCCGTATGTACCAGTACCTCAGATGGAAAAGACATCCTTTCTTGTCGTCACTCTATAGCCAAACTCGCATCAAACACGACACCACTCGCTGTATGGATTTTAAGGCGTACCAGCCTACGTTGCCGTTACCGGTATGCTCCCAATCATACAACACCTGTGTGTATTTCATCGGAGATCGCACCGGTCGGAGAGATCGCACCGGGGTGCCTTGAAAATGTAATCAAAAAGATCTAATTGCATTCCCGCACCGGGGTCGGAGACATGGCACCGGGGCGCGATAAAAACTCAAGGAAGAACATTTAAAAAAACGATCGCACCCGGTGCCATCTCTCCGACCATGACGGTATCTCGAAACGGCATGTACGTACCACAAGTCCAGGACGAAATGGTATTGAATGCCAAAACGCAACCTGAAAATTATTGCCAAGTGGCCAAGTGGGCAAGTGGCCAAGTGGGCACCAGACAACTTTCTTGGACAGAACACAAAATAATTTCTACCCTCATCCGGATGGAACGCAATGAGCTGAACCCAATGGTAGGTAGGTCTGCCTTGTTTTCGATATAGGATCAAAAACGGTTCTTCGACAATTCGTTACTTTCACATTTGGGAACAGGTCTGGTTGTCCTTGGATACGCATCTTTCAAGCCAAGGCTCGAAGGCAAAAGATACATCGCGCTTTTGGAAACACAAAAAACAGCGAGCAGTCGATAGTACTGGAAGTGGTGTGAAAGGCTGACAAACGGAACGTCGGTGGGCTCGGAAATAGTTCTTGAAGCAACCCTATCGTGTAGCGAAACCAATGAATTCCCCTCAAGAAAAACCAAACGTATCTATCCCCCAAAACGCGGAGCCGAATACTCCTACCACCAGCCTCGACACACCATCAGCCGAAAGACTACAAAAAAAAATTAACTCTACCCACCACTGCGAACCGGGCGAAATGACGTAATGGCGCAAGCGGTTCAGCTCAAGCGGACACCGTACCACAAAGCATCCGAGACATCGTACAACAACATCCGAGCCCCCCCAAAAGTATGGCTATGGCTTAACAAAGGTCAGCCGGACCCGGCCGAACTGGTCGAATGATCGCATTAGAGACTTCTGGCAGAAGCATCTGCCGCAGAACCAAACCTGAGCCTGGCAAATCTCTACTCGTTCCGAGCCATGGCCTCGAACACGCTTGACCATGTTTGCCACCGATTTGCGGTTTATTGCCTCATTCTCGGTCTCGTTGATCAGAGTTACCATGAACGCAAAGCGGTCAAATTTCATGACATTCAACATGTGCAGAAATTTTTTCTTCTTCGCATGGTTCTGCTCGTGCGCGTTGAGGTTGACCCCCGAGAGCTGGGCGCATGAGTCTATCCCACCGTACTTTTGGCGGCAGTCATCCCCGTGGTTGCAGTCGTGCAGGGCGTCAGGCCCGTAGTAAGGCCCGGCATTGCTCCCCAAGGCGTGCGTTCTGCACACTGTCGCCGTGGGGTCCTCCTGCAGCGGTTGGATGTCGAACGGAAGGCCATACTCTTCCACGATGCCATTGGTGTCAGCGCTTTTCCCCGGTTGATGTTGAGCCACCTGAATCTGAAGGGCTTTCGTACGCTGCACCGCCGACCCGAAGCATGCTCCTGAGCGCACAGCCAGTTCTGTGAGGACGAACAGAGATGACGTACAAAAAAACGGCATGCCATGTGTTGGCTCATGAAAACGTTTTGACTAAGGTTTGATCATTTTGAGCCGGCTTGGAGGTAACGAACGACATGTACCATACCGGCCTGATACCGGCACCAACATTGACACATTATGGAAAAACGTACACAGCCCGGTAGATTGGTGGTCCTTAGATTATTGGACCAACAAAACGACTAGCCTCAACACCTAACACGCAAGTGTCCACGTCCTCGTACCTGCCCTCTTCTTTGCGCACTGGTTGGCAGGTTGAAGTCCAATCGCGATGAACTCCTCCTTGGCCTGATCCAGATGTCAGAGGTCCCGAAGAAGGGGACGGAAAGTAAACCGTGTGATCGAAAAATTTGTCTAAATAGTTGGGTTACCGCAATGGGCTGCTTTAATGCATTTATACAGGAAACTCTGTACAAGCATCAGAAAAAAAAAAACATTGCTGGGTAGTCTTGTTGACATGGCAGCAACTCAAGAGATTCGAGCACTACAGCCTATTAATATGCAACGAAGTGCATGCGCTGAATGGGAGAGGTGTGGTAGTTTTAGCGGTGGGCACAGAGCATGCGCATGTCCTTACCAGCATGCGAGAAAAATGTTCTTGTTCCCCGCTCTAGCGTCTCTAGCATTGTTTTTCAAATTGCAGCAACACATGAGTAATATGTCAATATGTCAGCAGTGATCTACCTATGTTCACTGCTCCGAATTGAATAACAAAACATGAAACAAGGTAGGTTTTGCCGCGCGCAGAAATCAAATCAACCGGCGACGCCGAGAAGGAAAACGGAAGGAACGTAAGGTGGGAGAAAAAAAAAGAAGGAGGGACAACGATGTTCAATGAGGAACGCGAAAATAAACCCACTTGACCAACGGAGCAACGAACAACCACCAGTATTGATAATACCGCCAAAGACAAAGCACAACAGCCCACTACGTCAGCTGCGCGAAGGAGACGTACTCACCCGGGCGTAGGTCAAAACCAGGTGATCGAGCGCCGCAGGTCGAAGATCATTCTGGCCAGCCACAGGTTCGAAAAGATGCTGAGAGAAGGCAGGTAGTTCCGGAGCCTTGCCGGTGGTGGACCCAGTCGCCACCGCGAGAACGCGTGTAGAGAACACGCTCTGCGCCGATAACGTCGGCAGCACCGAGCCCGGGGCCATCTGCTCTTCCTCGACAAGTACTGCTGGCGGGACCTCCTTGTCTTGTCCTTCGCTGATGAAAGCCACGAGCTTGGTGAGGCGCACGTTCAGAACAGCCACTACCCTCAAAGAGGTCCATGGAGTGGTGGCTTCGGCGGCGCAGGTTCCGCAAACGGGCCCGAGCAAGCAGCACGAAGTCCACGGCGGGTGGTCCCTTCTTCTCTGTCCTGCCATGCTGAGACGCTGAGAAGCTGACCGAAGTCCAACCGTTGAACCGGAGGAGAAGTTTGCGCATCGCGCAGGAGATTGTACACATTGCGTTGAGTGCATTTCTCCTGCGGTACGGGCTCCGAAACCTGATCGGCGCCAAGAAAGTAATTTCCCAGAGGCGCTAGTGCTGGGATGTCCACCTTCCGCATGCCATGCTCGTCAGGCTCGCCAACCCGGGGAAGAACTCCTTCGTTCGGCGCCGCCGTCTGGCAGCGGTCGTGGACGATCGGACCTACACGACACATGATGTCCGTGATGACGAGGATAGGCATGTGCTGCATTAACAATGGGGGACACGGGGGACATGAAAGCATGGGTGAAGGTAGAGCGTGGGAAGTTGACAAAGTTTTCTTGGGTTCTACTGTCGTGTTTTCGCCTGACGTATTCAACAGACAGTTCACAAACGAATCTGAGACGGATACGCCAGCAATAGACTTAACACAGACTGCCAAGTTGTTCTAACCCGGTGCCCATTTATTGCGGTTAAAAGCCTTTCGAGATGAGGGTCACACACATGTTGTGTAGACAACCCCGAGGTCGTGGACGCTGTTTGCGTACTTGCCGAGAAGAGTCCAACGGGGGAATGTGCGAGACAAGACGAGGAAAAATTGCAAACTTTTCCGAAGAGGTGACACAATTCCATGCCTCCCTTTGAGAACAGCACATGTGCAGACTTCGATTCCTCCCTTTGACAACAGTACATGTGCAGACTTCGATTCCGACTTGATTTTTTGGACAACACTAGATTTCAGATAAAAAAAGCGACACAGGGTCTGGCCGTGCGCACGACCAACTGTTCCCAGAATTAACACTGGTGCGAGCATTGGAGTTGGAGTCGATAAGATATTATGTCTACATCCTATCCTACGGCCTGCTTGATTGATGGTCATATTTTCTTCGTGCATGCTTTGAGTTGTGTTAGAAGTAGCGCGTTGGTGGCGTTCTATACAATATTTATCTCTGGCTTGGGCACAACACATGCGCACTCCGGGCCTCCAAGAGCGAGTGGGGCAACCAGTTCAATCGATTGGAGTCGTGTTTACTGCTCATTACAACACAGAGAAACATCATTTCCTGGAAACGTTCTACATCTTAAATGTGCACCAAAATTCTCCCAAAGACCATGCTTCCTGTGCATGTACACGGTCTCGTGACCACCTGTGGATTGTGCATATCTAGCTTGGCGGCTTGGGGGTATTTGGAGGGAAGCGGTGGCCTATGTGGCAAACGCGAGCTTTCGGCAGGTGGCTAGGCTTGACACGAAAGATTGGATGAAAAAAAGCTGCAGCCGCTCTGTGAAAAAACAAGGGGGTCCTTGTTTGGGATATTGATGCACGCACCTGTTGTAGACACAGGTGGCAACATGTTTCGAAATGGCGAATTGTTGGACGCATGTTATTTTTGTGCTACGCTGTTTCCGCATTTGGAGAAATTTTTCCTAGCCCATTTTATATTTTCGTTTCGTTCTAGAAAATGTATAGTGTACCCTTTTGGGGGTGTAGTTGGCTTGTGACCACGGAAGGCGTCCGCGTCAGTTGTACCAGTAGTATACGGATATTAAAAGGTACTGCGCGGAGACCGGGGCGGTTTTTAATGTGAACACAAAAAACAACAAAAGCCGTGCGTGGAACTACCATAGTGTACCCACGAAAAGCACGCGCGGGTGTGGCTGGCAGACGTGCTTTGGGTCATGCACCGCAGTACGTGTTTCCTTTTCCTTGCCCCTTGCCCCTTTCGTTCAGAGGGCGGTTGAACTCTACTTCCACATAAAACTTCCAAGTTTTATTTTATTCTGAAACGACACGCAGTTTTCGCTTCCGGTATGGACATGCGTGGGCGTGGTATCTCTATCGCTGTGGCCGCACCTGCGGCATGGTTTCGGGCTTCCAGTACTGAGTTTTCAAGAAATCATGCGTGCACACACAGACAGACTTTAGCTTCACACGCGCTTGCATCAATTTGACCAACGTCATTTTTTCTGTGCTCCATGCGCGGAGTTTAAACTTAGGGTTGACCCGAAGTCGGTTGTACGATATTCGAAAAACACGGCCAACAACGAGTACGTCGTTTATCATAAGCGCAAGGACACCAAGAAGCACATGTCGTGAAAGAGACCTTTACACAACCGGATTGCGGTTTGTGCTTGTCCCGCCCAATTACTGGTGGACGAACCAAAAGTCAGCCGTGAGTACTTTCGCGTCGGCGTGGTGGTGCTCTACGATAGTTTCAAGGTTGGGAGTGCGTGAACATCGCAGCATGCAGACACCTCGTAGGTGACCATGTTGTCTCCTCCACGTAGATGTTGCTTCAACCCGCTAGATGCCCTAATCGGCACTTGTCGTTTTGCAACAAAGACCGGAAGTATGTACAACTACACTTTTGATCTATACCAACGCAAAATGTGCACACCTTCGTTAATCAAAGCCTGCTCACCATCTGTCGAACGTATTCGACTTTCATTGTTTTCAAGAGTCCGGGATCTTTTGAACGAGCACTCGTGATCAATACGATAATTGTGTTTCTCTACAACGGGGCACTCACCACGTGGTGCAACAGGAGCACGGCCAAGTCTGTGGGGCTCTCCGCCCGTAGCATGAACATATGGCACGTCTGGACTCCGTCCGGGCTGTACCCCCCCTCCACCCCAGACGAGACCAACCATGCCCCCCTTTCCATGAAGAACTTTGAGCAATCCTCCTTTCCATGGTTGTTCTCCCGCCAGAGCTTCTCCACCGTCTTGAACAGCTCAATCAGCAGCACCCTGTTGGGGTACCTGAGAGTGGGGGGAGTGGATAGAGGGCAGTTGACAAGAGACCTACAGAAAATCTTGTATGAGAGCGATCAGTGCTCATGGCAGTGCAATTGCTCTTTGCTCTACATGCCAACACGCCCTACTTCGTGTGGAAAAATGAAAGGTTCCAACATAGGTGCGCAAGCACTTTCGGCGTCCCGAATCTTTTCCTGAGATATGAGATGAACAGGTTTGGAGGTTTGCAGCAGACGTCACCTTGACGAGCGAAACACCCGGCCCGAAGGCATAAATTGGACACATACGGCGGGCGTCCATATTTCCGACGCTATCCAATACTCCCCCACACGGAAAACAAACGCGCGAACAGCTGTCGATGTTTTCGATATGAATAATGATACCTGTTGAATCAACTACTGCAATAGTCTCGAGCTACCTCTCAGCCCTCAATTGAGCCACTTCAAATGTGCGGTGGAACCATGACAAGTACAACCCCTGCGTAGAAACCAAGAAACGATTTCTCATAGTGCCTCACGGAAGCACTGGTTCTTCTCGAACAACACGCAACATGATCATTGCAGAGTAACAAAGGGGGGAAAAAAACTAAATACTACGGCAAATTAGCGGTCCATTCTGTAATAAGCGCTACCACCTCAAGAATTTTGGCAAATATGGACAAAAGAAATCGCTGTAGCTTCTCGTGAAAAGTACCTGCTAATTCCCGGCGCTCGCGGCCCAAAGCACAAACGATAGAGGCCCTTCAGCCCGTCCAGCGACATGCCCTCCAAAATCTCCGATAGCCCAAGACCATCCTCGTTCTCCCGGACACGCTCCATCAGTTTCTGGCCATCGGCAGCCTGTGCATCTCCGCTACGCGGGGCATGTCCACGAGCAGGCACCACGATGATGTTGGACTTGCGGTTTTGGGGGCAAAAAGTCAGCGGCGTGTTTTGTGAGAACTGCAGCCGCATTCCGAACACCATCGGCGACAGCATGCTGATGACGAGCCAGATGGCATCAAGGTCCATGTCGATCACTTGCTTCATGCGCTGTTGCAGGTACTTCTCGATGCAGATGTTGACTGCCAGCTTGGCGCAGCCGTCAAAACTCGAAAGGAGCGGAAAAAAACCGTCGATGAAGCTGAAGAACCCGTAAGGGTGGTCGGTGAGGGCTTCAAACGCCAGATACGCGTCAAGCAACAGCTTTTTCAAGTAGTTGTTGGTCAGCGCTCTGGCAGGAGAGAGCGGTACGCCGGGGACAGCAACAGGAACATGCCGGAAGGGGAGTGAGCTTCATTCCAGGCGTTGGGGGGTCACGCCCCTACGTATCAACGTCCATGCTGCACCGCGTAGTACCAACGCCCAGGGAACCAGTCCGCATCGTGATGCAAAAAACCAAAACAAAGTAATCTATTTGCATTTTCCACTCCGGTATTTAATTCGGTACTGCGATAAAGTAGGGCATGAACACCTTTCAAGAACGATCGCACGACGGTTGACCGTGCCACCTCGAGGGTGACATTCTTGAGAAAAATCGCTTGAGACACGCCGCAGCTGATGTGCATGTTGCCGGTACACATTAGCTTCCTCAACATAGTGTTGTTTTCCTGGCACGGAGGTACATGCCGCCTTACACGCAAGTACCGTGCGATTATAAATGACAAGTACTGTAGGCAAGAACAATGTACTACCGATGCTCACCAACCCTCTCTGCAACGAATTTGCACTCCACCCAGCTGATCAAACTACTTGTTGCACGATGCAGACCAACCGAGATACTACAGCAATATACCAAACATGTTAAAGCTATTTTTCCCTAACCCCTCCTTGTGCCTATCCTAAGATCCGCCCAAAGACTTCGTTGTCCTTTCCTACCGCGCGTTGGTTTGACTTGGCACGAGGGGTGCGGCAAAAAAAATGAGAAGAGATGCGGTGGGACCGGGCCCCGCAAAAACGAACGAAATGATTTGGAAAACACTCGCACCTCCGTGCGTACTGAAAGCGCTTTGCGGTACCCTCATCCAACGTCCCCTGGGAGGGGGACACGAAATGTACTGGGAACGACTTAGATAACAACAGCCCTGAGGGAAAAGTGTGCTCGATGACTCGTTGAAACAATATCGTACTTTGATCCCCGAGGAAACCCGGAATAAGGTTGTCGTACATTCGATTTCGAGGTCAAAATGTGGGGGATAAATACAGTGGCTACGACCTACCGCCTTGGCATTGCGACACCTGCACGTTTGAAGATGGAGCGTTTGATTTAAGATAGACTAGAAGTGTTTCGGGGCTGGAGGTCGAAGGGACTATTATTTTTTTCCTAGCCTGATCATGGGGAACTACTCCCCGAGACGGGTGTTTCCCTTGCAGTTTTAGGTAAACACCCCCCCGTGACACATTGGATCGTACCGTGCTACAAGCGGAAGGCAAAGAACAACAAACAGTGGATGACGATGATTTTCACAGTCACCTCTTGGCCAGCTTGTTCCGGGCCATCCATATCAGGTTGTCGGCCAAAGGACGGAGGAGATTGTCGAATGCGTGGCTGATTGCCGTACCACTGAGCACCGCCCGCCTCGTCGCGTCCATGTGGGACAGATGGACGAGTAGAGTCTCTCCGAAAACGAAATAGCCGTGCTCTTGCCAGTCATCACCGGGTAC